TGTTCTGAACCAAGGCTGAGTATTAAGCATTAACCGATGCTTCCCAGTTGGGTGACATTAAGGCCTCATGAACGTTAGCTGGAACACCATCACTAACAACGCTAGAATATACTTTAGGCTTGTAAACTCCACATTTACTACGATTCAACATGGGATGATGATTGGTATTAGACTCCTGCACAGACTCATTAGGTGAAACAACCTCTTCTGGAGATGAAGAATTAACTTCATTATCATAAAGTGACGCAGATGAATCTTCAAGACCATTAGACGAGCCAACATAATCTTCATTATCACACACCGGAGCCTGCTGATCTCCAAGCATCTCAGGAGCTACATCACCCAACCTACGAATATCCATTACAACATCAAGAGGTCGACTAGTCATACTAGAAGACCCATACGTACCAGCGTTACTTTCAGCTGCAAAAAGGAACTGCCACTCGTCAAATTTGACATGCCGAGACACATAAACTTGGCCATTTGCCCCAAGACACAAAAAACCTCTATGTTGAGGACTCGCACCCAGAAATGTACACGGCTGCGACCTGAACTCCAATTTATGACGATTAAAAGGGCGTAGATACGGGAAACATCTGCACCCAAATACTCTGAGCAAAGCATAGTCGGGTTTCTTATGAAACAACGATTCAAATGGAGATATTCCTTGCAAGACTCGAGTTGGCAGCCTGTTAATAAGATAAATTTCCATTACTGTAACATAAGCCCAAAATTTAAGAGGCATAGATGCTTGAGCAAGAAGTACGAGAGCAAGTTCAATGACATGCCTATGCTTTCTTTCTATGACTCCATTTTGCTCAGACGTGTGTGGGCAAGTTAACCGATGCGAAATACCAGCTGTTAGAAGCACATGATACAAGCTGCGAAACTCTCATCCCCAATTATTCTACACAACTTGTATTTTAGAATCAAATTGTATAGAAACGAGCTGCTGAAACAGTTGAAACGCATGAACTGCCTGTGACTTATCCTTTAGCAAATACAACCACGTGTGACGTGTGCACGCGTCTACAAAGGTCACATAGTACTTATAACCATTTGAAACCACAGGTGACAGTCCCCATAAATCAGTGTATATTAATTAAAATGGAACATAATAGATTGTATCTGAATCAATAAAAGAAAGCATATGGATTTTGCCCATGTGACAAACAACACATTGTTCATTCAATTTCTTATCAACAACTACATGAAGTGATTTGCAAACTTGTTCTAGGGTCCCATGTGCAGGATGCCCTAGATGCCTATGTCATAGTTCATACAATTTATTTGAAGCAAGAACAAAATAAACTACTTCCTGACTACTACTCGCAACATCAACATCCACTTGAAAGAAGTAGAGACCACCTCATTGTTCACATTGCAACAAAAGCTCACCATACCGTTTATCTCGAACACATCAACTTGTAGCTCAAAACTCAAAGTAAACACTGTTGTCCCTAGCAAGCTTAGACACCGATAACAAATTCTTTGTAATCTTAGGCACATGCAATAAGTCGTTTAACATAAGCGCTCGAGAATTAGAACGTAAAGCAGATTTACCAGTAGCATGAATCGAAAGAGGTACATCATTGCCAACTAATAATTTACCTGGACCAGAAAAATCAGATTTGAGATCAATGGTCGATGCATCAGGTGTCACATGGTGTGAAGCACCAGAGTCAACCACCCAGGAGTCACGATGTGCAGCATGAGCTTTAGCATGTCGTTTGTGTAGCAGGAACATGCATTACCATCTACTTGCAAAGCTTCAACACTTGAGTAATTAACACGGCCAGTGTTGTTTCCAGTAGAACCACGACTAGAACTCCTACCTGAAAAGTTCTGATCAAACCGATTCTAACAATTAACCACAAGGTGGTTATTTTTGCCATATAACTAACACTGAACCTTGGGCCTGCCACGACCTCGTCCTCGAGCAGCATAACCAGAGTCATTGCGATAATTAGTCCGATTGTAAGATCTCACATTACTAGACTTGGAGTTATTACTCATATTGGTGACATGCGCACTCATAGGAAATTGATCATCTCGAGCGTCAAACCTAGCAATCTGAGTTTCAGCATCAATCAACAACGAATATACCTTATCAAGAGACAATGAGTCTTTCATTGTAGTAATGAAAGTAACATATGGTTGATACTCCCTCGAGAGACCCTTTAAGATACTCGCAACTTGTTCTGCGGTGGAGATGACACTATCACACGATGCCAACGCATCAAAAACTTCCTTGATCCGGGTCAAATACGTCTGCATGTTGTCATCTCCTTTCCCGAGTGACTGAAGCTTATAATGGAGGTTGATGACTGTCGTTGTGGAGCGGCTTGCAAAGAACTGCAGGACCTTGTTCCAAACAACCACTGCAGTCTTTACCCCAACAAATTGAGAGAGCAGATGCGAGCTGATCGTTGACAGCAACCACGACGCCAACACACTATCTTGTACGATAAAGTCATCATACAATTCATTTGGCATCGATTCACCATTTGCACCAGCTACAAAGGTAGACAGAGGCTGCAACGAACCAGTCAACAACCGCTCGAGCCGATGACTACGAACAGTCAGCAAAACTTACTGCTTCCAGAGTAAGAAATTCGATTAATCAAGAATGACATTCACCTTCTTGTGAGTGAAGGTCTTGGCAGCCAACGAATCCATCTCCTCTAGCAACTGAGGCAGCGAAGCGAAGCACCTCAAGAACAGACGGCGAATGATACCATAATGGATTACTGGTTTAAAGAAACTAACAGCAAGAATAAAGAAGTAATTCCATGCATTTCATTAAGGGCTTAATACCCTTTTATACAACTTGTTATCTAACAAACTCATGACAGCTCAGCTAACAAACTCAACAGAAAGCTATGTGTTCACACACACACACTCACAGTACTCAACAATCTCACATACATCATAACCACTCAGCCACCACTCTAGCTTCATTCACACTCAACCTTATTTGCTAACATGTTGTCATTTAACTACTCACATGTATTGTGTTATTTCGTCATTCATAGATTTAATATATATATACACACACGCACATAACCAAAACTCATTCCATTCATGATATTTTTTTGAGAAATTTTAATTTTAAAAATAAAAGTAGACATTAAAATTTGAATTTAGAATATATGGATCAACTATATTACTTAAATTTTGATTCTAAGTGAAATAAAATAAGAACATATTGGACTGGTAAGGAACTGGGTTTTTAGATTTTTGGGCTTATTAAAGTCTAAAGAAATGTTGGGTCATAAATTAAGCTATGCGGGCTCACAATGACCATAACTAAAATTGAAATCCAATTTGTTATTTTACACATTATTTTTTTAATATATCAATTATCAACATTTAAAATAAATATATATAATTTTATAATAGTCTAGAGTAATTATAAGATAATATTTGTTCAATTTTTTTTAATATATTGTCAACACATATCCTGCAAGCATAACTGCTCATACTCAATAGTTCTAAAGAGAATAATCTTTCTTTTTACCACTGAATTTACTTGATAGGTTCAATGTATATAATTTATTAAATGACTTTAGTAGTAAAAAGAAAATATTATACTATTTGAAAGATTTGAGTTTGGACAATTACTTTTACAGATACGAACTAAGTGACCTTGATGATAAATGAATTGTTGTTATTCTTTGAGGTCATCGATTCAAGCATCCTGAATGCCAGGAGTGTGGGATTTCAATGTCAAATGGTTGAGAGTTATCTTTGAATATATACTATCTTGTACTTACAACAAATTAATAAAAAACAATTATTTTTACATGTGTATACGTTGTTAATAAAATATTATTTTATAATCACTCAAATTAAATTAATATATAAAATTCATCTAAAATGATATTTTATATTACATGATAATTAAAAAATTGAAAGAAAGATAAAATAATAATTAAAAGTAAAAAACAAATGAGAGGTTTGTCATATCATTTCATGTTTAACAAAATAAAAGACATTAAGAAATTTAATACTTCGCATTGGATGATTTGTAAGAGATTGATTTATATGGAGAATCTTTGTTCTTTGTTATAGTTAGGGCATCTTCAACGTTGTTTCAGTTTGGTGAATATCTCTACTTTGGAGATAGCATTTTTCTTCAGCCCATCGTCAATGTGTATTTTCATTATGACGATTTGTTATAGAGCACGCCACATCTGGCGTTGTACTGTAGCTGCGCTATAATTTCTTTTCTTTTTTATTGATTTTTTTGATTTTTTTTAAATTCAAGTAGATTAAATTACAATATAGATAAAAATACATTGAAATTAGATAAATAAACATACTAATTTTTTTGTTTGTAATTTTTTTGATTTTTTTAAAATTCAAGTAGATTAATTTGCAAGATAGATAAAAATACATTGAAATTAGATAAATAAACATAGTAATTTTTTTTTGTAATTTTTCTATTTTTTTGTAATTTTTCTGATTTTTTTAAAATTCAAGTAGATTAAATTGTAAGATAGATAAAAATACATTAAAATTAGATAAATAAACATACTAATTTTTTGAAACATAAAAATTATAACAAACATAAAAACATATAAAATACTAATAAAACTCAAACAACATTTTAACCACTAATAAAATATATTGAAATTAGATAAATACATACTAATTTATGAATGTTTTATTTATGTTTTTTATCTTGATATTTATTAGAAATGTATTTATTTTATTTTATATTTATAAAATTAATATTATAATAATTAAATATTTTAAATAAAATAGAGTCGATGATAATATAGAGATAGTGTTAAATATGAATTCTTGTTTCATCTTTAAAGTAAAGATAAATATATTGTATATAGAGACGAGGGCTTAAGATTATCTGCTATTACTACTTGTATCCATTCAAGAATTAATAAAGTGGAATCGGAGTTGACTCGAGAGTGAGTATTGCGTTCTCTGAACGCCCATTACAGACACGTGGCGGACTGGGATCGTTTCTTTACATCTCCATCTACCATATCATAAACGCTCTTTAAAAGGAAGAAGAAGAAGAAGAAGAAAGATAACCAGAAAATGGCGTTGGCGGGTCTCTACAGGAGAGTTCTTCCATCTCCTCCTGCGATCGAGTTCGCTTCTCCAGAGGGAAAGGCAATTAGAAACAGAAGAATAATAACTATAATTTCTCTCTCTCATTTTTTTTTCAATTCTATATTTTTATTATTTCTTACCTTTTTAATTTCAATTTTGAAATTTTCACAGAAACTCTTCACGGAAGCTTTGGCAGGAGGAACTGCGGAAGGATTTTTCAAACTAATATCGTACTATCAAACGCAATCGGAGCCTGCGTATTGTGGACTCGCCACTCTCGCAATGGTCTTAAACGCCCTGGCTATCGATCCCGGTAGAACCTGGAAAGGTACTTTTCTAGTTTCCTTTCCCTTTTATTTTTTCTATTTACTTGAATTTCGAACCATCCGGCCAAATTAAGTTTCTTTTTTATTTCTGTTTCAATTTAATCAGGGCCTTGGAGATGGTTCGATGATACAATGTTGGATTGCTGCGAGCCTCTGGAGAAAATCAAAAGTCAAGGCATCACTTTTGGGAAAGTTGCTTGTCTGGCTGTTTGCAATGGTGCTCAAGTCGAACCTTTCAGGACGGATCAATCTAACATCCAAGGTTTTCGGGAACGCGTGGTTTCTTGTACTTCCTCCGAGGATTGCCATTTGATCGTCTCCTACAATAGAGCAATTTTAAAACAGGTAAGCATTTCATTGACTCTCATTTCCAACAAATATATACATCCACTAATTGACCCTTTGTTTTCTCTTGATTGTTTTTCTTACCAATTGAAATTGTAATTGGTTGCAGACAGGAACAGGTCATTTTTCACCCATAGGGGGTTACCATGCTGGAAAGGATATGGTTCTGATCTTGGATGTTGCTAGATTCAAATACCCTCCTCATTGGGTTCCTCTTTCGCTTCTTTGGGACGCCATGAATACTATTGACGAAGCAACTGGACATCTTAGGGGGTAATCTCGTTCTTCCTCTTCATAAAGTTAGGCTCTTAATTGTTGTTACATTTTCCCCTATGACTAATGAGTATGCTCAACTTGTAAAATAGATTATAAAACCTGCCCTTTATTGGTTGACCGGATTCTTGCAAATTATGCGACTTGCAAGCTTGTTAGTAGTTGTTACAACCGCGCTGTTGTGAATTAGATTTTTAAAATTTCCTCATTGCATCTCATGCTTGCTTTCTTCAGGTTCATGGTTATTTCAAAGTTTCAGAAAGCAGCATCTGTGCTTTACACTATGGTACTTTAATTTAGTCTTTTTTGTCTTTCTCTAAGCTTTCAGTTTACTAACCATATAATAACTGTTGGATGAATATGGTTACAAATTGTGTTATCTGAAGTATTAAAAGTGGCATCAAAATTCTGAATGTGCTCTTTATTTTTCATGCAATTTAAACCTGTGACACATAGGTGAATTTAAAATCTTCAAACTAAATATGGGAATTTTTACATTAAATTTTTGGTCTTATTTGTATTATGAAAAATATTACATTCTTTGATGTTGATAGTTGCACTCCTTTCCCATCTCTAGGTACTTCTCGAATATGGATATATTGTTGATGCATTCTTTATGTTTGGTACACCTTTATTGTTCAAAGAGGTGATAACTGGTTCCGTTTCTATTGTGGATCAAATGCAGAGTTGTAAACATAAGGATTGGAATGTAGTTGCGAATTACTTGACGGAAGATCTTCCCCGTCTGTTCTCCTCCAAAAATCTAAAAGATGTTAATGATGTATTATGTGTCGTATTTAGATCAGCACCTCCCAATTTGCGGGATTTCATCCAATGGATTGCAGAGGTTCGTAGACAGGATGATGGCAGTACCGTTTTAAGTGAAGAGGAGAAACAAAGGCTTGCACTCAAGGTATGAAGGGCACAATTTTTTTATCTCTGTCAACTTCCATTTTACTTTGTTGTTAATTCCTCCTTTGAAAGAGTGTGAATTTTCAATTTACAGCTCCTTTTGCTCAAAACTTTTTTCTGTTTCATTCCATGACTTGGAAGAGAATAATTTGAAATTTCAGGAAGAAGTATTGAACCAAATACGGGAGACGGAACTATTCAAACATGTGATGGGATATTTGGGACATGAGCGTTCGTTGTGCAAAAATGTGACACCTTTGGGTTACAAAGATAGCTTAGCTGACATTGCTGCAGATGTTTGTTGTCAAGGAGCTGAACTTTTAACAGGGAAAATTAGGTCGTTAAACAGATGCTGCTGTAAAGATATAAAGCTTCTAAAAACCGAGTGTAAGGAGCCTGTCACAGTGGCTTCTGGCACTGTAACTACCGATGGGATTGAACAAACGGTTGATATGCTGATCCCATCATCTGCAACAAAGCCCAGTTGTTTCTGTGATTTTGACCAAAATGGTTGCCGTGGCATACCTCCATCAATAGGGGATGGTCTGACGGTTCTTCTTTTTGCACTGCCGCAAGATACCTGGTCGGGCCTTGAAGAGAAGGTACAGGCAGAGATGAAAGGCCTTACAGTCGTTGATAGTCTCCCAACTTTGCTCCAAGAAGAGGTAAAGTCTGATTTCTTATGTTTTTTCTTTTTTTGTTTGTATCGACTTCTTCGTATTTTCATTTTAGGCATCGAGTTTATCGGTTTTCTTCAACCATTTTCCATTCTTTTCTGCATTATCATTCTCATTTAGACAATTATTGTAACCACTCAAGGCTTTCCACATTTCATGACAAAAAAGTCCAATAGGCTTTTGGGTAAAGTAGATCATTTTTCATTGTCGTGCCTGTTTGATTCTGGTTATTCAGTTATAGTAGACATTGTTTCATTACAAGTTTATCTCAAGATGTTTGTCTGTCTGTCTGTCTCTCTCTCAGGTTCTGCATTTGCAACGGCAGCTCTATTTCCTCAAGGCTGATCTCAACACCTCACCCTCATCGTCTTGATAAAAAAAAAGAAAAAAAAGAAGGGCAAAGTACCCTAGAGTTCACTGAACTATGAAAAAATGAATTCTTTTTTTGTCAGCGACCTTTCAAATATCAATAAATTCTAATGAGTATGGATGAAAATGAGCATGGGGTTGCTGCGGTTTTTTTTTTTATAGATTTTAGTAGCTGCTGGTTCTGTTAGATTATTTCCTTTATAGTAAAAAAAGTTCTAATAAATTTAAGGATCATTTTATAATAGTTTGATAAATTTAAAGATTATTTTATAATATTTTAATAAATCTTAATGATCTAAATCAGTCTCCAAAATAAATCTTGAGAACCGTAATATATTTAAAGCACTGAAAAAAATTAAAGACTTAAACAAGAATAAAAGTCAAATACCAAAGACAGACACCAAAAAAAAAAAAAGGAAAACAGAAAGGATTTTAGAATAAATGGTTTTTTAATAGTTAGTATGAGAAGACCCTCCGGGGTGATTATTGGGATGTTTGATGAAGGTTATGTAACTTCATTGTATTTGTTCCAAAACTAATCTGATTAAAATGTTGCTTATAAACTTTGTTTTCCCTGTCTCTTTATACCAGGTCATATGAATTGAAAATATGGAAGTTATGATCAACTCCGAGTGGCTTTCCGGAGCATGTCGATGGATAAAGGTTCTCGAACATGAGCTCTGATTAATATGACCCCCGAAATCATAAATTACGAACCTGATCTTCCATTAAGTTATGATATGGAGCTAGCAAACCAAGATTGTGATGTAAGCATCGATCCAAATTTCAAACAATTTTCCTCTTGTCTGTCTGTCTGTTCTTTTCTTTTCAATGATTTATTATTTTCAGGAGTTTGTGAAATATGGAAGCTGCGAGTCTGGTTCGATGTGCATGTTCAATCATCCATGCCGCCGTATCTTGACTAAAACTTCAAGGTTTCATTAATGCCCATATTCTATATTCAAATTTAGTACCAGCTTTATCAGATGTTAATTTGTTCATCTTTCTTTGCTTAATTGTAGGGGACGGACTGTTATTGCTCTGCAACCTATAAACTGAAGGAGCCTATAAACTGAAGACGGAGCCATATTTCCCATTCCCATCAGAACATTGTTTTGCAATATCACCATGAACCTTTTGTCTGTTTATTTTGTGGATTAAAGCTGAGATAATTAACAAGCTTAATCTAAGCTTATAGCATAGCTTCCTATGATTTAACAATGGAGTTTTGAATAAGTATCATGTTGTACAATGCATGAAATGAATGGTCAATTTATTCCGTTTTGAATAAGTATCACAATGCGTGAAATTTCCTAGTTGGCATGATCAGCACTCGACTCCACATTGTTTGAGGACAGGGCCTGTTTGCTTCGGCAAGAAAGGATCGATCCGAACCCAGACCAACGAGAAGATCGATGCAAGAAGTATAGACCACAATACAACAATGGTTGGGGTCCTGTTTTGCCTTCCCATCAAACCTTTGAGGAAGGGATAGAGGTGAACAATGACCCAGAAGGCAAAGAATAGCTTGCCAAATAAAGGACCCCACGAACCATAACCATTGTTAATTGCATCAGAAACCCCGGCCACAACCCCCACCATGTTCAATATTATTAGAGTCGTCGGTGGGATTAGAAGGGTGGTCCATTTGAAGAGGTAAAGCTCACCGAACTCGGTATCTTCAGCGGCTTTTGCTGTTACAGTGAAGTTGGTGTCCACTCCAGCAAGGACTTTTAGCAGGCCTTGGAATACGGCAAAAAGATGTGCTGAGACACCACCGATCACCCAGAATTGCTCATTGCGCCACCAGTCTTGGATGCTAACTCCGCTCCATCGAAGTTCAAGAACACTGGTTGCTATGATGGAAATGAAAAGTGCCAGGAACCATACACTTGTAAGGTTGCTTAGCTGCCAAGAAAACGAAAAGGGTCAAGCTTAAAGGATCTAACATGTTCGATTTTCCAGGGCCTAATGAACAAATCACTTCCGGAATGTTTTTAGGATTAATCCAGAATGTAACTTACAGTAGGGATGATGAATTTTCCGGTCAGGAGACAAACAGCTGGAATAGTACAGTAGGCGAGTAACGGAATGGAAGTGAAAGGGTAGACAATAGTGTTTATGTAGGCAAGCCTCTCCAGCCATTTCAGTTTTCCGGCATAGCCATACCAAAGCGGGCAGTGACGACTAAGGAAAATTTCTACTGAACCAAGAGCCCACCTCAAAACTTGGTGCAACCGGTCCGATAGATTGATCGGAGCTGACCCTTTGAATGCTGTTTTTTTTGGTCTACAATAGACCGATTTCCATCCTCTACAATGCATCTTAAAACCAGTTAATATGTCTTCCGTGACCGACCCATAAATCCATCCGATCTGTAAATCCAACAATCTGTACCATTAGTAAGTCACTAAAATGACTCGATACACTATCAATGCAATGTTGCTTACCTCTTTTCCCCACTCTGTTTTCTCCTCATAGCCACAACTGATTACATGAATGGCCTCCTTAATGAGTGATGTGGAATTAGTTCCTTCGGGAAGACCACCATTTTCCATTAGAGTTGAAGCAATGAAAACTGGTGATTGCCCGAATCGTTTCTCGAAATTCTTCTGTGACATTAGTGATGATTTCTCCAGTTCGTCATATCCTTCAAGTCCTTCTTCGATTTCTTCGAGATCGAAGACCGGTGCAGACCTTTTTCTCACATAGTTCTTTCCCATCATTTTCTTCTTCTTGGACCGTAGAAGACCTCCAAGGAAGCTCTTTTTCTCTCCTTTATTCTTTGCCTTTTTTCTTGACCCTCCACAGCAACAGCAACACCATGATGGCCAGCAATCACAATGCATCTTCGGTCGCTTCTCGGAGATTGGCGGATCATAGCCATACAGTGCCTGCCTGTTGAAAACACACCCTGTGCCTACATACACAGGGCCTTGAAGCCCGTCTAAGCCTAACATGTTGATCTATAACCAAAAAGCAGCATTGTTAGTATTAGGTACGAAATGTAAACGAAACGAGCAAAGTAACTTCAATCACTTACATCGAAGAATACGACGTTTCGGTTAGCATATCTATCGTGGCGATCAATGCCATCGAACCTCTGTGGAAATTGAACATAGCAAAGCTTCTTTCCAAACTGAGGATCCATTAAAAAGCACATAGATTCCCTTATGGCCTTGCTGTTGTTAATATAGTGATCACAATCCAGATTCAACATGAAGGGTGCATTAGTAAGCACTGCAGAGACTCGAACCTGGCAACAACATTCATGAAGAAACAATAGGCAAGATTAGCCATAAACCTTCATCTTACGAACAAACAAGTAATTAGGCAGAACAGCGCTCACCAAGGCGTTCATGGCACCGGCTTTCTTGTGGTGCTGATAACCGGGCCTTTTCTCACGAGATACGTACACCAGTCGAGGTAGCTCCTTGCCATCCACATCAAGTGCACCAGCACTTCCTAGATATACCTGTAAAGTAGATTACAAGTTACACTATGTATAGGCCTAATTCGATATTTAATGATCTTATATCGATATACCTGAATCATCCCAGGATGATCACGAGTGTTATTTCCGGGCCATGGGGTGCCATCTTGCATCACCCATCCTTCTTCTGGTTTCTTCTGTGCTTTTGCCACTAATGCATTGACCCTCACTTTAAACTCTTCATATTCCCTCTGCAAGAACACCATTAGCAAAGTACATCTTAAACCCTTGTTTGGTAGCACAAAAAATGTGAACAACAATTTGGCAACTCACTTTCATGGCTCTACGTTCTTTGACAAAGCTAGGATGCACCTTGTCTTTCAAGTAATCTATCTTCTCAGAGAAATAAAACTCGGGTGCCCTCGGCTCGACGTTATGCTTCTTGCAAAATGGTACCCACCTCCTCGCAAATTCGGCAGTTTCCGATAGCGTGTCGAAAAGAAGCATCGAAGCACCATCATCGGATACATAACAACTCACTTTTTCAACAGGATAATCGACAGCCAAAATCGATAGAACCGTGTTTGCCGTAATGATGGGCGGTTCCTTAAGAGGGTCGACAGTACTCACGAAGACATCAACCAAGCCTAGTTGATTTGGCTCTCCCTCACGCTCAAACCTCAAGGATAGGCGATCCAGGTAAGTTTCCCGGGTAATGGGGAACCATTTGGGGAACTGATCGAGTATCCATGAAAAAGCAAACCATACTTCACATATAACAGAGATGAGCCATAAGGGAAAAGCGTCATAGGCAGGTGTTAGAATACGAAACCGGAGGAAAAAGACGAGAACGATGAACCGAAGGACGATGACTATCCGATAAGGGTTGATCAAGCTCGAGGGGATTGGGACTTTTCGCCACAGAGGTTGTCGAGCTTCAGCCATTCTACAAGATCCAAAGAATTAAAAACAAGTGTCTAAGTGTTGTTTACAGGGTTTAAAGATCAAGAGGAACTTACAGGTAATCTTCCTCTTCTTCAACTTGATCATTTCCTGCATCATAATTGCTCACCAAACCTCTTTTTTCTTGCCTGACTTTCCATTTCTCGACTCTCTCTTTCCATTCTGAGCTGCCATAAATCTCTTTGTCCCCTTCAAGATCCTTACCAGCAGCTGCAACCCCATACGCCCGTAAATATACTAAATCAGGCTTTTAAAAGGAAAGCAAAAGTAAATGAAAACATACTGCTTCCTGCAACAGAGAAAGCTTGACCATTAGGCTGCCATTGCTGATTATTATTGTCCCCGTTTTCCTGCAAAATTAATAATCTTTCCTTAGGAGGACCCGGATCATCCTGGCGGTTCTTAGTCTGAAATTCATCATCAAAATCATTTTGGTCGTCATAGTTGTCTTCTTCATCTCCTGCAACCATTGCACTGCCTGTCGGACAAGAAGCAAAAGACAAAAGTTAATGAAACAAACATGTTAGAAACTTAAAGATCAAAAATGGAAAATCGAGAGTGAACCTTTTTGACGCTTGTAGCGAGTGTTGCACTGAAGACAACACTGAGTTCCGTCACTCCTCTCGTACTCATAACACGGTCGGCAAACCGGGAAACCACACACATGACAAGGCACGAACAACTCTCCGTCTTCCTTGTATCCAATATTATCCCCACAAACTCTGCATATCTTTCCCGAAAACTGCCGAGCCGGAGGCCGATTCTGCAATCCGACAACATCAAGCTGATCATAGTAAGAAACGCATCATATTACAAAGAAAGGAAGAAGAAGAAGAAGAAGAAGAAAAGTGCCTGGTCGACAGCAAGTGAAGTGAAGCCAGCCATGGTGGTCGAGGCCACGGCAACCCGAAAAAGGATAAAAAAGAATGAAGATGATAATGAGAGATACAGATGTGGTGACAATGGTAAGGGTGTTATAAATGAGGGGGAAAAGGGAGAAACGTGAGGGAGAGTCTACTACCAAACTGTGAGTTGAGAAGTCGTAGGTTTGAGTCTGAGAGACGTTAAAGCTAATGGGGATGAATATTATTAAGGAAACCTTCTGGTTGGTCTCTATAACTCTGCCAAACGCCTGCCATTTTCATTTTTAGTAGCTTCCACTCAAAGGCAGGGGGCGTGCTGTTGTCGAGTGCTCGCTCCAACTCTAACGTTCCTTACAAAATTAACTTTATCATTTGAGTATCAAAATTTAAAAAAATATAAAATAATTCTCAAAATCTTTAATTTTTACAAAATAATTACCATGGTATTACAACAAATATAAAAAATAAATTAATTAAATGATATTTTATAATAATTTAATAAAATTAATGATTATTTTATAATTTTATAATTTTATAATTATTTTATAATTCTTTAAACTTCAATTCTTTTAAGTAATCTTTAATATATGCATTTAGGTGCATGTGTCAGGTACCCCCACACTATGCCCAAAAACCAAGCATTGAATTCACATAAAAATTGGAAATATATAGGTTCTAAAAATAAATGACATTAAATATAAAAAAAATGCAAAAAAAGGCATCCAATTCACATAAAATTTGGAAATATATAGGTTCTAAAAGTAAATGACACATGAATAACAAAGTGGTTGATTATATAGGGAGCCCTACCCTGGCATCACTGCAAAATATAGTCCCCTAATTTGAATGGATAATCAAGCGGTTGATCGTACGAAGAGAGTGACTTCAATAATTATTCAATAAAGGAATTATTATTATTTCTTGATGTACCGGATTCAAACATTATAAATGCTAGAGTTGTAAGCGTTTAATGTCAAATAGATGAGAGTTATTTTTGAACT